TTACACTTTGCCCTTATCCTTTCCTTCTCATTAGGTTTCAACTTAATATTAACACCCTTCTGAATAGAGTAAGTTTGCAGTGCCTCCCTGAACTCTATGTGATTCAAAAATACCATATACAGTTGAAATAAAACCTTTTTAGCAGTTGGATCAAAGTAGATCTTTGTACTTTCCTTCCTAGGTGCTGGATCTACCACTTCATCATTCTCAACAGGATCCCCTTCATCTTCACTAATGTCACTACCAGGATCTGAGCTATCAAAATAAGGGTCATCACCACCCAAATTGCCTTCAAATCTCCCCCTCTTCTCCTTATAAATGTCTTCAAAACCAGCATCTATACCTACAGGACCAGATGGTATCTCATCTAGATTTACTCTAGCAGTCTTTTCTTTAACTTGTTCTTGAATATTAGACTGCCTAGCTTGAAGCAACTCCTCATCCAAATCACTCAAATCATCAATATTTTCATCAATATCATAGAGTGAATCAGAATCAGAATGTTCTTCAACTCTAGGGGCAGGGGCTTGTTCTTCAACTAAAGGGGACTGCTCTTCAACTAAAGGGGGCTGATTTTGGTTTAAATCCCTATTTTCATTTTCATCAAATGGTTGAGATGAAGACACATCAGCCCTATCTATTTGTGGGGAGGATGACAGATCAGCCCTATTTTTGTGTGGGGAGGAGGACACATCAGCATTATTTTGTTGTGGAGATGAGGACACATCAGCATTAGTGCTAGGCAATACAAGTATCTCCTCTACAACTAAAGGTATACTAATGGGATGTACAACATATACATCAACAAAATCAGCACCCTTCAAACCATTCAGAAAGTTTAAAACATCAGAATCAGTATTTAACATGTAAAAAACACCCTTCTTGTTGACTCTACATCCAAATGTCTCAACATTTTCAACACCCAATTCCATTGCTATTTTATGAAATAACATAATATGCAACTCATCTACATCTATATTAATCTTTTCAACACTACTGATTCCATTGACATACCTTAAAGTAGGATTAGATACAAAACAGCCCCCATAGTGAAATTGAAGTGTCACTATAGTTAAAGCCATTACCTTACGATGCCTGTAAAGTCAAAAATAATAACTACAGTTAAACCATAAACTTACCATGACTGTAACACAAAAATCCCTAATTTTTTTTAAGGAAATAATGAATTGTTGTAACAGTTAAAGCCATTAACTTACCATGACTGTAATTGCTGTAATAATGCTCCACTAACACTATCAATACCCAAGACAATTGACCAGAAATAAAATATTAATTTTAGTTGAAATTGGGATTTTACGAATAAACCCTAGAATCTACTCGAATTCACGAAATATGCCATTGAAGTCACTCAAAGTCATACATCAACTAAGAAAGCATATTACACTAATATTACATCTAAACCAAAGTAAAATCCCCAAAAAATTTCAGAAAATCGAATGACAATCGACCCTAAAATCAAACAGATACGCGCGAGAAAATGAAAAAGATCAGAACTAACGCAAAAGGCAAGAACTTACAACGAAAATCGGAGTGGAACTGAGCTTCAACTGAGCGAAGGTTTGGAGGAAAATCACAGACGAACGTCGCGGAGAGGAGAAGAGAAGAGGAGAAGAGGAGAAGTGTAAAAGTCGCGAAGGTTTGAAAAATTTCGCCTGAGTTAGACTATTCTTAGTTTAAGGTGAGTCATTTGCCACGTGAAATATAATATCATACGTGGATTATTTTTTTTTTCTTTTTGGCCAACGTGTACGTGTTTGTGCAACACGCTCCATACCACATCAAAAAAAGTGTTTAAAATGTTGAGTTTGGATGGGTTCAGGGGTCCAGATGACAAAAGGATAAGTAGAAGGGTTCACAATACAAACAGATACAAGTAGAAGGGTCCACCAGACCATTCTGCCTTTTTATTCCTATACCATAGTAAAGTAATTTGGTTATAGTTGAAGGACTATTAATGCTTTAAAGTCAAAGTATAGGGACAACTTTGATCCATATCCCAAACATGAAGGACTATTTTGTTTTTTCTTCTCAAAAATATATAAAGAAAACATGTTAAATAAACAAAAACCTTTCTTAAACCCTACAACCTCTAATTGTTGGGAAGAAGAACACACCATCATTCTCTTCTATGGCAACCGACGACAACCAAAATGCTGGCGGCGTTAATGCCCTCCGGCGGCTTAAATCAACTGAACCACCTCTTTATCTTTCAGCATCACCGGAGCTCTCCGAAGCCGCTCGATTAGCTTCTAAGTACCTATACTCTTCTCTCAAACCCTACACTCCGAAGTCGCCCTTCGCACAGCTCTTGACAGATGGTTTTGATGCCGAACAAATATGGCAGCAAATTGACCTTCAATCCGAGCCCTTACTTACCTCCCTCGGTCGTCAAATCAGACAATTTGAGAAGAAACCGGAAGAAATTTCAAAGAGTTTTAATTTAGGTTCAGGTAACAGTGGAAAAAAGAATAATTTAGAGAGGGAGAAAGAGGAACTGGCATTGGATGGAGAAAGTGAAGACTTTAAAGATGTAGATATGAATGATTCTGATGATGAGGAGGAGGACGAGGAGGAGGAGGTAGATGAAGAAGAGGAGGGTGATGATGGTGAGAAGAGTGAAGACGTGGAGGAGAAGGAGGAGAATGGTGGGGTAGGGGGAGTGGAAGATAAGTTTTTCAAGATAGATGAGTTGGAAGAGTATATGGAGTATGATGAAGCAAGGGAGTATGGATTGAAGGGAAAGACTAAGAAGATAAGAAGTAACAAGAAAAAGGAGGAGGAAGAGGAAGAAGATGGTGAAGAAGGCGACGAGGAGGACGAAGAGGAAGATGACGAGGTAAGAATTTGCTGATTTTGAAAATGAAGGCGGACTTTGTTTAGTCGTTTGGTGGTTCAGATATTTTGCCTAAGTTAATCATGTTGCAAGTAGATTGGTGACTGCAGATTTGCGCTTCTTTAATAAAGCATACATTTTTACCAGTATCTTGTTTTTGCAGCTTGGGTTAATGGGCCTCGGAGATGATGAAGATGAAGGTACAGAAATTGCCAGGTGTGTCTTTTCTCCACGTACTTATTAATCCTTTTAGTGTTATATGACAAATAAAACATGAATTAGTTACCAAAGGTTGAGAAGAATTGGCAGTGTTGGTCTTAGCTCAATGATCTCAAGGGGATAGAAAACCAACATGTCTCAGTCCATTTGACTAAAAGACACTTTAAAATCTTCTGGTTGTTTTTCAAGACTTGAGGATTGTCCATTAGGTAGTATCGTTGATGTCAATTAGGCAGAATAGATTTGGCTGTGAAGGGTGATTGAGTGACATTTTCCATATTGCCTTTAACCGAGAAGGACTGGATAATACTATGTGATTAGGCTCTGTGGTGAAGCTCAAACATTGTCTTTATGTAGTCAGAATTTCCCTGCAGATACTGCAGGGTGTTCTTTCTGCCTCCCCGGCAACTGTATTCTATATTATGTCATTGTGACAGTTAACTAGTACTCCCTCCGTTTCAAAAAGAATGACCTCCTTTCCTTTTTAGTTTGTTTCAAAAAGAATGACCTCTTTCTTTTTTTGGTAACATTTTAATTTCAGTTTTCCACGTGGTTTGTTTCAGGCCACAAGATTAAAGGGCAATTTTGTACATTTGACATAATTTTAATTTAGGACCAAAGGATTCAAAAGTCTTCTTTATTTTCTTAAACTCCGTACCAAGTCAAACTAGACCATTCTTTGTGAAACGGAGGGAGTACTAGATTAGTGATTTCGGATGAACATGCTCTCTGGTTTGCTAATATCAGAGGAGCCTGTGCTTTCTTTCTCCCTCTATATTTCACTGCTGTTCTAATCAGCGGTCATTGATGGTACAACCATTTAACTAAGTTTCAAAGTTTTATTTAAGTATCTACAAGCACTAACTTTCCGAAATGGGCTGAAACCTTGCAGAATCACATTCCATATTTGTTGTTCTTTGCTTAATAGTAAGACACCTTGCACTTGTGCCATGACAGTTTCCTTTCACTATTTTTCACCCCTCACATAGAATGTCAATCACATTATACAAGACAGAGGTTTTAAACTATGTTACATGAAACATTGACACTTCTAATTTGCTCAAACTTTTCTTGATGATACACAGATATGAGGACTTTTTTGGTTCGAAAAAGGGTACTGGACAGAAGAAAACTGTTAAATCATCGGATCTATCAGATGACATGGGAACCGATGATGACATGATTGATGATAATGATGACAATCAGGTAGTATACTTTCTGTCCTTTCAGTTGTAAAGTGTATGAAGATGAATAAGTGATCTATACATGTTTCCTCTGTCTAATTTATTCTCTTCTTCTGTTTTAGAAGAAGCAAAGACTTTCTACCCATGAAAAAGAGCTTGAAAAACTCCGATCTACAATTGAGGATATGGAGAAAGCAAACTTGGAAGAGAAGTCCTGGACTATGCAAGGAGAAGTAAGATCTCTCTTTCATAATTCCCTTGTTTTAAGTATTTACTTGGAAGAAACACCCGTTCATGAATACACAAGCCCAGATCCAAGATGAAAACTGAATTTCGGTTATCCCCGTACTCTCATTATAGATGCTACTTACTATCTCCATAAATCTTTTCCTTTCTAATTGTTCCCTCTTCCTTTATATTTCCCTATCACTCATTCATCAACATGTATTAGCTATATGTACCACATGGTGTCTTCGGTTTTGTATGTTTTAATAATCTTTATTGGCAGGTAACTGCTGCAAGAAGGCCAAAGAATAGTGCATTGGAAGTTGATCTGGATTTTGAACACAATGTGAGACCTCCCCCTGTAATCACTGAAGAGGTTACTGCAACACTTGAAGAAATAATTCAGAAACGTATCATTGAGGTGAATATTCTTCTATTGCCGCTATGCTGCTAATATCTAAGTCTTTTTTTCTTTAGACCGTGCAAATGTTAAAAATAACTTTGTTCCTTTGCTACTGAATTTGGGGCATTCTTCGTGTGGAAATGAAGTATTCTTTTTCTTTTGATGAAGTGGAATGGAGTTATTCTTTAGAGAAGTGCTTGCTAGTAATTTCTTGGTGAATTTGGTTCACATGTAGAGAGCACGTGCGCTTAACTACAATGCTAGACTCTCTTTCAGAAAAATGCACTTGAAAAGAGTGCAACATTTTGTTGAAGTGTGTGAATATCTCATCTAAAAGCTTAATTTGTTAGAGAAAACACACTTTAATGTAGTTAATTATATTCTCAACACGCCCCCTGACGTGCGGGCCTGATTCTTTTTTTCCATGGGTAAAGCACGTGGAAATTATAGAAGCTCCTTACACTTGTATGGCTTACTTTATCAAAAAGAATCTCCTTACAGATGTTATGATCATATCAGTGTTTGTTCTTTTGTTATTTCTCTATCTGTTCCTTTTCTTCTCTGCCACCCTAGCCAACATTTGAGTCTGCATGAAACAAGGTATAACCAGCAACTGACCCCAGCTTGTAATGTATAGGGCCGATTTGATGATGTTCAGAAACGTCCTAGCTTGCCATCCAGAGCACCGCGAGAAACAAAAGAACTGGTAAATAATGTTTCTATATGTAAAAATATATACTTGTCCAATTAAGTGGATTCTATCCTGATCTCAAGTGGATAGCTGTTATTAACGATGCTATGATTTGATGTTTCTTTTTGATTTATCAATTTGCAGGATGACAATAAAAGCAAAAAGGGACTTGGCGAAATTTATGAGGTTAGTGCTCCTGTATTCATGTTACTCGAGGAGATTGATACTTTTTGGCAGCAACTACTGCTGTAAATATGTGTACTCTATATTCTTCATTCACGAACTTTCTAAAGGAAATCCGTGATCTTATTTGCCACTTTATTACATTTTTTTTTGCAGGAGGAATATGTCCAGAAGACTGGCCTTGTGTCAACAGCAATATCCTTCTCAGATGAGCAGAAAAAAGAGGTGTTTAATCTCTCACCTATAATCCAGCCCTCTACTTTAAAGCAGGAGTGGTTCTTGTTCTTCTTAACTTTGTCATTGACCCCTTTTATTTGCCTCGTCTTATGTACCTGTCTTATGCATATATCGGACTACTTGATGCATTTTTTAATTACATGATAACTCTAGACTGAAACATGTTATTGCTGTTTGAATATTATGAGCAATCTAATAGAATGTAATTGTTGGGTAATTGCGTTAACACACTTCTAACAAATTACAGCATGTGAAGGGGAGGAAAAACTCTCTTTAACTTCAAAAGTTTGGGTAGCGTGTGGAGTAGGGAAGGAAGGGATTAATCAGGTCTTAATTGCTTTACTTGATTGCACCTTTTTTGAGTATGCTCTATTTTGAATGTCAATACAGGCCACTATGCTGTTTAAGAAACTGTGCTTGAAGTTGGATGCTCTGTCTCATTTCCACTTCACTCCAAAACCGGTATGACTATAACAATGTACATTTGGCGTGATTTTCCCATCTCTAAACGGTTCGTCTCATGTTACTTCTCCATGACTCAACTTGGTTAGGTGATAGAAGATATGTCTATACAAGCAAATGTCCCTGCACTTGCAATGGAAGAGGTGAGTTGACCTGAATAAGTAGACATTTCTTATTTTCAAATCAACTTGCATAACTTCATTGTTGCTCAACCATGTTTGCTCATATTGTTTGTTCTATGGTAGATTGCACCTATGGCGGTCTCTGATGCTGCTATGCTGGCTCCTGAGGAAGTATTTACTGGCAAAGGAGATGTTAAAGAAGAAACAGAGTTGACACAAGCAGAGAGAAAAAGGAGGAGGGCGAACAAGAAAAGGAAATTTAAAGGCGAGTTCTTTTGTAATGATATGCCCCAAGGATACTTTCCATGGTTGACTGTACAAAAACTGATGGTTGGGTAATTGTTTTTTGCAGCTGAGTCAGCAAAAAGAACAGTAAAGCCGGCACCAGAAAATACACTAACTAATGGTGTTGAGGGTAAGTTGTTTCTTTTATTCTTACCTTTGACGTCTTCCCTTGCATTTAAATAACTGAATTCTGTTGTGCCATTGTTTTACAGGTAATGATAAGTCATAATGTGTACCAAAACAGAACCGGAGTGGAGCTCTCATGCCTCCCTCACTCAAATAGCGGTAACATTTTTGGCACTGAATGGTTTGTGTCGTTTCTCAGCCAGAGTGGCGAGCTGAATGGTTTCTGTGTCGTTTCTCAGCCAGAGTGGCGAGCTACATCCACATACAAGACGATGATAATTACCATTGTGGCATCATTATTGTGCTACTTTGGCATTGCAGGAAGTAAATGTCATTACCAGGCCAATTTGGTTGAGAAAAATGAGTTACTTCACATGATAGGAAACTTCACTACGATGTAATGTATTTTTTTGATAGCAATTTGGTTGAGAAAAATGAGTTACTTCACATGATAGGATACTTCTTTATGTTGTACTGTATTTTTTTTAATAGCAATTCGGTGGTCTTGTGCATCTATAAGTTTTTACAATGTAAAATATGTAACGTTTCACACAATATAAACCAACCAAAGAAATATGTGTTAGTTTTAATTGTTGGACGTCAAAAGTTCAACATTCAAAACGATAGTGTAAGATATAAAATTGAGGGGAAAAAGATCTGAAAAATACTTCAACTTAAATAGTAATGTATCCACGTGGGTACATATATATTTTTAAAATACACTATTAAATAATACAGGGGTAAAATGTCCTTTCCAAAATTTGATATCGTAACAACAATTACGGTCAAAGTTGGAATAGTTCTCAAATTCTTTTCCCTTGTGAGCATATCAAAAGAGCTAGTAATGTACCGATAGTCTTTTGCTCGTCATACTGAGATTCTTTCACACATATAAATCATTCCAACTGGAGATACACCAATAATGGCCAAAAAGAAAAGTCTCCACCATGCTAAATCAACACCTTAATTCTCGACAAAAGATACTCCACTGATTAACTATATCTACCATAATATTGACCAATATGACGGGGCGAAGATGAAAAATAAACAAACTGTAATCCTCAACAACAAAAAATAGTCTGGTTATTAACTATTTCTGCCATAATATTGACGAGGGCGGGAGATGATCCTGATAAAGCACCACATCCTCTTCCATGTTTTTGGTTATTTTTGTAACGTCAAAATGTTGGTCCACACTCTTTTCATGTATCTATGAAGAGCACAAACTATCAAAACAATCCTATAATGATTAACATAGAGGATTCCACTCCGAACGAAAAACATGAAGGCCAAGTTAGCGAGCTTTACAGCTCCGTGACAGGAAACAGAGCAGGGGAAGGGGGAACAATATACTAGATGTCTGCTTCAGGCCTCTTCTTTTTTCATCTTGCTGCCCCCAGTATTAACTTCTTTTGTTATATCACTCATCATACAGGTCAAGAAAAGATCAGATTCTGGTTCATGTGGATTTAACATCACCTTTGTTCAAGTGCTCTTCAAGTCTCTCAATTGCGGCACCTACACCACCCTTCACTTCATTGCCATCAGTTGTCCCTGTCCCTTCATTGGCTTTCTCTACAAGCTTCAAATGAAGCCACCCTAATAGAACAAATTTATTTTAGTAAAGCTGTAAGTTTATTTTTAATAAAGAAAGAACAATAGCCCACCCACAGGTTTGTCCCTACTTCACATGATTCTTCATGCTTAAGGAATACATAAGTGCCTGAGATCCTCATGATTTGAAACCAGGCAAACTTAGCAGAGATGATAAGCTAAATCATCTACAATAAACTGAAGTTACTAATTTATAAGTTTTACTAGCATTAACAGTACTGTAAGGTTAAGAACTTTGAGCAAGTAAAGAACAGTTTAATGGATTAATATTAGTAAGCAGGTCACATTCTATTACCAAGAGGGAAGCAAACTGCAGCACCCAAAGCAGAACCCAACATCACATTTCTCGCACGCCATTGGAGTGATCCTGGCACTGGAATCATAAAAACAAACAGTGAGTGGCAGAGGAGATAATCTGATAGAGGTTCTGATACCCAAACTCTGCCACTTACTAATTAGACCAAATGTTGCAGCTGTAGCAGAACCAGCTCCAACAACATTATAAACATCATGCACACCGCGCTTTTCAGCAAGCAGATTCTGCAATCCATAAAAAGCAGCAGTGAACATTCCAAGGCGTATTCCACCAACTATTGAGCCCCGAGTGACTCGTATAAATCTTTTTTCCATAGCATCTCTCATGAGCCGATACTGTTCACGCTTATCTGGTGTGCTCCCAAGCTTTAACATCACCTCAGCATCCTTGCTCTGTTAAAAGAGGAGAAAGTCCCATGAATACTAGAGGAACCATCCATGCAGAAAGAAAATAATTTCACGTTCTTCCCTTTGGGAAGAGAGGACTAGGGAAATCCTATTAATTGCAGCTTTCCTCCAGACCTCTGGGAAAACACAGCAGGAAATCAACCTTATACAGGTGGATGTATGGATTCATTTAGTTCTTTTTATTCTTGCTCGAGCTGGATGATTAAAAATTATCATGTCCAGTTACCTTGGGGGATGGATCTTCTAATTAATAGATAGAGCCATGATACATTCAGAAAAAAATTGTAAAGGTAACAGAATCTTTTTACCCCCTTTTTGATGTAATTGTAGAAGAAGATACACATATACAAGGTTAACATGGTCATAAGTTCTGGGAGATTCAAGAAAACCATGAGTTTTCTTCTGTTGTTTTTTGAAAAACAATTCAACATTTATTTGTACTCCTAAATACGTAGTTTGATTTCCCATTTACTATTTAGACAATGTACCATTACTACTGTCCAAAGCTTCACAATTAGCATTTCCTCTCTCCAAGTTATCTTCCTAAGTAAAAACGCAACAACAGGAAATCAGTAAACACAACATAATAGTCACATAGGGAAGGAGTACTGACAACAGAAGCAGCAGCCTCCTTGCTACCTCCATAAAAAAGGCCAGCAAATACCCCAATTACAGTAGCAGTGCCCCAGTTTACAGTTCCTGCCATTTTCTGAGATCTCTGAAAAAAAAGATACATACATAGAGAGGTAAATAAAAATTTCAAACCGATAAGTTTAGCTAAGCAAAACCAAGATGAGTCAAATAAAGTAGTCCGACAGTTCCAACATTTTAGCTCAATTCCCAACTGATTAGCATCACATATATAGATACCTCATAGTTTAGCTAGTTATACACTGGTGTCAAACAACATCAACATTTCCCCTTTATGGGATTTGGGATTGTTCTATACTTTGCACCCATAACCTGAGTTACAAGGAAATAAACACTTCCGATTATAAAGAATATCAATGAAACAGCATTGGCAGGGGACAGGAATAACAAGGAAGACAGTTACAACAGCTAGCGGGACCAAACAGTATCTCGAACGGCAAATCCTTCAATGAAGTAAAGATTAGAACTTTAAAACAATCATGAAAGAATCCCAAATTCCCAATCAAATAACCAACACTTTTTGAGTGCCTCACTGAGGAAATTGAAGTATTCCCTCAGTTTCAATTTGTTTATATTACTTTCCTTTCTAGTCCATTTCAAAAACAATCATTTTTAGCCCGTTCAAAAAATCTTTCCTTTTTGAGTGACTGTTTAATTTTAACTTTTCAGGTAGCACGTTTGGATATTTTGGTACATTCTATGTATCTTTCATGATTCAAAAGTCTTCTCTCCTTTCTTAAAACTCTGTGTCAAGTCAAAGTCAAAATCATACAAACAAATTGGAACCGAGGGAGTGAGCATCGGGAGTGGGGGGGGGGGTTCGAGTAATTTCAGATTGGAGAATCCATCAAGTAGAAGATATTAACAAGAAGAACAGTAAGGAGCAGTGACCTAATAGCTAATTATTAAGTAATCATAAACGAATTCAAATATAGAGAGATAAATGGGAAAAAAAACTCACATTAGGTACCGTTTCCTCTTCAGTTATCTCTGAGGATTCCATTGATAACGGAGAAGATGCCTCTCTCTTTGTAATCGCAACTCAGACAATGGAGTAATTGAGCGATGATTACAGTTCTCTCTTCCTTTGCTGAAAATAAGCCGACTTGGATGTTCGATTCGGACTGAATACCTTGGGCCGGATCAGGTCCGACCAGGGAAATGGGCCTTGATCCGGACCGAGCCTAATATCTCTATGGTGGGCCGATTCAAGAGTCCGTTAATTTGGGGAAAATGTATACATAATAAGAAGAATTGAAACAATTTGTTTTATTTGTATATTTTTATGTTAAGGATTGTGATTATAGTTCTAGTACTAGTTGGTTAAATTTCTCTCTCTTATATGGATTCATTGTCATGGGAAGAATAGTCGAGTGTGTGTATTATTGTATAGTTAACTCCCTTCTTAACTAGACAAGTGATTAAGGTACTTAGTTAGACGAGTGAATTTACGTAAAGTACTCATATGTATATGATAGTTACGTTGAAGGAATTAGTGATTTATATGAACTTTTGAATCACTAAAGAGCATTTCCATTAAAAATAATTAATTTTTCATTCGATTCGGTGTGCAATATCCACATCGGAGCCCGACTAATTTGAATATACACTGCACATGACTCATTCAAGGGAAGCACTCCCCCTACCGAAGGATTTTCCATACCCACAACTCGAAATCAAGATATTTTGTTAAGGGAGGAAAAAGTCACTAGCTAACTAGAAGCCTCTTGCTTTGCGGTTCATGGAAGTAAGAATGGTAAGTATAGCCATAGTTATAAATCCAGCCAGCAGCAGACCACTTGTAATATAGCCCCTCTCTATGGTTTCTCCTCTTTTTATATCTTTGAATTCAAAGCTCACTCCAAATCCCAAACCAACACCACTTGCCAACAAAAATGCTATCACCTGCAATACGCCAATTATAATTCGAGTAAATATCTCAAAAGGTCACTCAAGTATGTGAAATTATTTGAGAAAGTCACTCAACTTAGTTTTGTATCAATAAAGTCACTCAACTTATGAATTTCATTTTATTAAGTCACTCAAGTTAAACTAATTTTCTAGAAAATCAATATAACCAAAAGATAAAAAAAATAAAAATTGCATAAATCACCCTTCAAGTAGTTTATAATATTTTACTTAACTCTCTTGTTTTATTTTTCTCATATTTATTTTCTTAACCTAATTATTATTAATATAAAATTTATTATTTAACTAAGTTGTCCTTTATCATATATTAGTTAATTTAATTGATTTTATAGCATCTTTTTATTCAATTTACCAAAAAAAAAAATCTAACTTCACAAAACAAATTAATATTTTACTCCATACAAACATGCATGCCACACTAAATAGGGATTGCAATGAAGCGGGGGTGGGTTTGTAAGCTATGTGTAGATATTACGGGTTTAAGGCTATGCAGAGCGGGACGGGGCGGGGCAGGGACGGAGCGATAGTGGGTTTAAGCAAAACAAAAGTTTAATTTAAAATCAGTTCATAATTTTATTTTTCAGTGAAATTAAAAACGTGAATTTGCATTAACTTATGTTTTTATTTGCTGAATTTCATGTTTGTACACATAAAAACTATTTATATATATTTTTTTAAATGTTATTTGAAATTTTTTTCGCGAAAACTGAAAATTAAGTTTACAAACTCAATTTTTCAAATTAATGCATCACTGCCTCACTGCTACAAAAAAAAAACTGATTACCATTTAAATCTGTTGGCTTTTGGAAAGATGTGAAATATGATTATGAACATATAATACTACTTAAAATAAAAGATATTATCCTTAATTACATAATCTATCTAAATTTGCTGGCTTTTGAAAGATGTAAAAATAATTTAGCATTTTTAAATTTGATTTAACTTTTTATTTTTTTTAAAAAACTGTTGCGGGTTGGGTTGGGTACGGATTGATACGGAGCGGGGTAGGTCTAAAACATACAAAAAAAAAAAAAAAGCGGGGTGGTTAATATTTTTCGGGTTAAGGCTTAAACCGCCTTGCCTCTCCTCCGCTCCACCCTATTGTCATCCTAACACTAAATAATTCATATTAAAACACTAGTATCAAATATTCGACCCACCAGTTAAAATGAAATTTCAATTAAAAGTGGGCTATCGAAAGGATTATAGGTTGAAATAATTTTTTTGAAAAATTACAGGTTTGTTGTCTTCTTTTATTCATTTTCACTATTTTGTTGTCGTGTTCCTCATTATTTTTAATAGGGTAATAGTTATTGATATGAATATTTTGAAAATCCAGTTCATGATTTTTTTTTTGTTTGCTATAAGACCAGCTAAAAATTTACTTGAAGAGACGAAGCCTGAGCCAAGTGCATTAATGCTTAATGCTTGGACACTTGAGTTAATATTAATTAAGTTAAGAAAATTATAATTAAAAAAAAAGAGGTAAACATAATATTCTTAAGTAAAAGGGAAGAAATTATTATGAAATTAAACTTGAAGGGTAATTTGTACAATTATCTCTTTTTATCTTTTGGTTATAATGATTTTGTAGAAAAAATAGGTTAACTTGAGTGATTTTATAAAAGAAATTTCATAAGTTAAGTGACTTTATTGATATAAAATTAAGTTGAGTGACTTTCTTAAATAATTTCACATACTTGAGTGACCTTTTGAGATGTTTACTCATTATAATTCACTTAATTTGTCGAAATTATTAAAACCAAATCAATGAAAGTAAACATTAAAAATTTCACAAATTTTGAGGAGAAGATCGAATACCTTATCTCCGTAGAAGTCGAATATTGGGAGAAATTTGCGTCTAATCAATCTCTTCTCTTTTACTGCATGATACATTGCAAAAGGCAGCTGAATCAATGAGTACAAAATTCCACCAGCTGCGGCACCAAGCACATACCTATAGCTCTTGATACCGCGGAACTCGGATTTTATGCTGCCACGGAGCATAGTAAGAACTATTAATGCAAGGGAAGCAGCACATAACAAGAGCGTTAAAATCCTAAGAGCAAGAATTGTGTTGATTATAGCCTTTGATGATGCCATTGTTATTTAGTTAATTTTCCTCTTTCTAAGTGCTCACTGGATATGCATATCTACCAACTGCATATTCCTTTTTATACATGCATTTAGACAGAAATCACACAAAGTTGATTAAAAAATGATTGATAAATTCGTTATGGCCAAAGATTTTGTGTCCTAATAGTAATACTTATAAGGTCATTCATTGTATGTAGCCGGACGAGAATGTCACAGCGAGTTAATCCTTTTCTAAGTCAAATGGCCGGCCGACATACATTATAGTAATAATAGTATAATCTTTGAATGTACCATATAAGAGTGACTGAGTTGGTGTAGCAAATGGTATCCCACAACACAGCCAATGCCTTCTTAGTCGAGCTCGCCACACCAAACATATCAGATTTTACGCAGGGTTCCAAATCCATAAAATTATCTTAAACAAATATATAATGGTTTAATTTTAAAAAGGAAAGACAGCACTACTTGATGTTTCATACATAAATCAATTATAATGGCCCAACATGCACAAAAGCTAGCTTGGGGTCAATCACCATCACTATGATCCTTATTCTAAATTAAACTTCACCATAAAGCAATCCAACACTGAAAAACAACATCATGTCCCTCAAAATTTCTACCAGTCTGCAGTGCCTAAAAGAAAGTTAAAGCAAACAGAAAAGCTAAAAAGTTACCCAAATCTTCTTAAAGAAACCAGAATGGCCTCACCAAATAGTAGAAATCCCCTTTAACATATTCAACTCACCATGTGAATAAAGTTTGACGTAAGTCGTGATTTTCACTAAGATATATTAAAATAACATCTAATATATATACTCTTATATAAAATATTTTTAAACTTAAGAATCCGAATGAACCCCTTACACCCGTAGCTCCGCCACAGGTCCCACCCCATAAATCATGCAGTCTAACTTAGCTCTGTTAATGAAGTATCACCATTTTCTTAGCATACCAAGCAAAGTATCTATCAACTTTATCAACTTTTTCTTTTTTCTATGTTAAAAAATATATTTTTGTATCATTCAAAACACTACTCTGTTTTTCTCCTTTGAGACCCATTATACTTCTTCCATTTCTTCTTCCTCTCAGCCATGGCTCATATACTCACAGTTTTTTTCTTCATTACTACATTTCAAACTCTATCAGTACTCCATGGAGTTTACAGCCATGGCGATGCACATAAATGCAGATCATACTGTGGAAACTTAACAGTAGATTACCCTTTCGCAATTCAATCCGGCTGCGGCCATTCCGGTTACAGAGATCTCCTTTTTTGCATCAACGATGTTTTAATGCTTCACATTAGCTCTGGATCCTATCGCGTATTGGACATTGATTACGCTTACGAATCCCTAACCTTAGACGATCCTCACATGTCAACTTGCTCGTCGATCGTATTCGGCCATCGCGGCAACGGCTTCGTCGTTGAGCGGTGGCGAGAGC